ACTGTGTCCTAGGGTCTGCATGGCATACTTTTTGGACTGCTTTGTACTATATAATTCTGGGTATATGTGTAGTTCATGTGAATGTTTCCAGTATCTCCCAGGGATCCTCCTCCTCCTCAACTCATAGACAAGGGGGCTTGACTTTTCCTAATGACATTATCTTCTGACCATGGTGGTAATGATTCAGGTCCTGTCAATAGCATCAAAAAGAGCTGGAACCATAACTGAGTCTTGGCCAGTACTTCAGAACTGGTCTTCTTAGCAGGCTTCTGTTCCTTTCTTTGGTTGAAACAATGACTAAATATTGCTCCTATGTATTTGCTACATTTCACAGGTGACACATGGACAGAGACACTGGCCTACGTGATGTTCTGGGGGAGCGCCAGCTTTGGCACCCTGGCGATCATCCTTTACAACGGCAAGGATTTTGTAGATGCGCCCAGACTAGTCCAGAAAGAGAAGATGGACTGAATTTGTGTGTGTGGAAAGCAGCTTGGTAGGGATGGCTCCTCAAGCCACACCTGGAGTCTCTACTGACCTGTTTTCCACACCAGCTTGTGGTCTCTCTCTCTCTCATTTTTGAAAAGAAAGCTTTCCTCTTTGCAGGGTGAAAATGTGAATCCAACTGGTTACTTGGTGGAGGGGACTGATTTGTTTGGTTCTGTAGTCACAATGATCTTAGGAGTATTGCATTTACTGGAGAGTGTATGTACTTAAATACTTGGGAGATTTAGACATGAAAGTGAAATAGCACCTAAGATGGACAGTGTGTTCACTGGGTTCTTAAAAGGGTTTGCTGAGCTTCTCAACCCAGCATACTGTAAAAAAGCTGAGATTGCTCAGTCTTCAAGAAGAGATGCTGTCTTGATATATCAAGAACACTACTCTCTGCAGGATTGTGTCTAAGGTAGGTCTAAATTACATTACTTGATACTAGTAAAAGCCTTGCTGGTTAAACAATAACAAATATTGCTGCTTTGAGAAACTTCTAGACAGGCACCCTTGTTGCCAAGGGAGCAATTAATGTTTTACGTTCAGGGTTATGTGTTTGTTTGTTTTTTCCTCCCATGTATATTTCCATTTTCCTAAGTGGAGGAAGCGAATGGTTGTTCTCCTCCCTGCACTCTCCCTTCAAAACAGAAACCTCATCTGCCAGTTTGGGGACAATATTGATGCAGTATTCTGTGAAATCATTGTGGGGATGAACTGTATAATTGACTTGTCTTGAGATCTGCTTTAACGACTACAATCTTTAAACATAGATGACAAACTTCCGTGTCATTCAACTGTATTGTCTTTTTTTTTTGTAAGATATAAACGGAATCAAAGAATGTAAAACTGCTTATTTTGACCCTCTTACGCTAAAGGTCCAAAGTATTTGTTTCCTTCCGAAGAAAAGTTTCAAGTGTAGAAGGTATTTCTTAACCTGGCAAACCAGCTGCCAGATTTTAATAGTATAATCTTTGGAAGAATGAATGCAAATTTGAGCTCAATTCCATGTTTGCACTGGGGATCAGCATCAGCTTGCTTTTTGTGCATGCCGTAATTAAATTTCTCTACAATGGTAACTTTCTCTGAAAACATGTAAACTATTAAGATTAGCCTTGTGCTGGTTATGTGTGTTTCAAAATTTAGTGCTTCCAAGCTTTCTATTAAAACTAGATCTGAATCAAGGACCAATTTTAAAATAACTTATGCCATCCATTTTCTAATTACTTGTGTTGAGAAACATGAATCCGCTTCAGGTGCAGTGCATTATTATATTTCCTGTAATTACATCTGTATTATTCAAGATTGCAATTATGAATTTAAATCTTAAGAGAACACGTGGACAGCTAGAGTTAATACAGTTTTGTCACTCCAAGTTAAAAACACAACTCACTGCTGCAGTATTCTCATTGTATGACAACTGAATAATACTGTACAGTCTTTGCAAACAACCACTCGTTTAAATCTTTGAACGGTTGGGGCCTCTTTGGGTTTGTTTAAATATTATCTTCTCACTCGTTTGTAATCTGCACAGCTCCTGTTTGCTTTTTAGATGACGTAGTAGAAAGAACTGTGTGGCATTCAAACCCAATATTAAAATAATAATAAAAAAACCACATCCTCCACCACTTAGGTGTGTGGATTGTGTAAGAAGGCTTTGCATTAAATGTATGATTTCATTGTTTGATGGTTTCTAAAAATGACTACTCCTTTTTCCTTCTTGGTGCATTTCCAATTAAGAACTGGGTGCAACAAAGAAGAAAACTGGGCCAGGTGGCATTGCTAGGATAAAAATAAAATGTGTCAGCTTGAGGAGGGTTTGAAGGATATCTGTACTCCCGTGCTTTACAAAGGGGCTGGATTTCTAAGTCCACATACAATGTACCTAACAATAATAAAACTTCAGTCTTTTCTAAAACTTTTCTAATTTTTGTGTTTGAATGCTAAAAAAAACAAATACTAGTGTGAGATTTGTGTTGTTTTATTTTCTAAAGTTGATTATGATTAAGAACTGGATGTAAAGTAACAACTGCAAAATATTGTTCATTTAGGGCTGGTAATAAATTTAATGACATTGGATTGCATTATGAACTTTCTGCACAATTGCACAAAATAAGTCTCATTTAAATAATTGAACCAAAAAAAAAGTACTCTTGGCATCTCTATTATTTTGATGCCCTGTATCAGCTTAAGAAGTTATATCTGATGTGGCAGACTGGCAGGTTGTTTTTCCTAGGGCCACTTTTGTGTCCATTGGCTACAATTGTTGCTTTCCCGGAAACTCCATGAACCAGCTGGGAACAGCTCACAGACCACTGCTTTGAATAGCAATGCCCTCTTTGCCCTACAGAGTGCTCTGTCTGAAAATAACAAGAGAGAGCAGCCTAGACATCAGAGGGCATTAAAATAGTCAATACTGTAAGCATCATTTTACCTCATAATGGCTTAATAGTCAAATGCATTTGATTTCTTGCATAAGTGCATAAACAATACTATATGCACAGATGAGGATATTTTCAGTGCCTGAGGCTGCATGTAACTGTCCCATGTAGATCAGTTCACATATTAAATCATTGTCGAGGATGTGAGCTCGTATGCAGCTCTGTTAAAGGGCTTTGGGGGCATGGATTTTGTACTCCTGGTTTAAGATGAGGGGCTGAGATAAAGTAAACTTTAACTGTCTTCAGGATACAGAATATGCCAAAAAGAAATCAGGATGCAGTTCATAATATTTTAAAGTAAAAATATGAAATATCTTATCCCATGTTCGCTTCCAGTCGATTAAATAAATTCATTATTGAATAGTTAAAAACACAAATGTAACATTTTGGGTTCTCCTAAAATAGTGGTTCTCAACCTTTGGATCTCCAGATGTTTTGGCCTTCAATTCCCAGAAATCCTAATAGCTGGTAAACTGGGATTTCTGGGAATTGTAGGCCAAAACACCTGGGGGCCCACAGGTTGAGAACTACTGTCCTAAAAGCAAGGATTGTTTGCATGATAGCAAATCACATGGAACATATAGAGCAGTGGTTCTCAACCTGTGGGTCCCCAGGTGTTTTGGCCTACAACTCCCAGAAATCCCAGACAGTTTACCAGCTATGGAACACAATGAACAAGAACCAAAGGACCAATCCACAAGTGGTGACTGCATCCGAGATGCACACAAGGACATTGGAGGATGTTACTGTGAACATTTCCTTTCTAATGTTTTGCAAAGGATATAAGGTAGAAGAGACGAGGCTTGCCTATGGTGTTGCATACATTGCCTTTTAGGCCACAGTTTATAAAGTTCTGTAAGAAAATCAGACATGTTTACTGTAATGTGCTATACATTGGGCTGTCTTGAAAATTGTCAGAAATTTCTGTTGATCCAAGAAAGCCCACATTACTAACGGGCTGGCTACAGGGAGCATACAACTCCCCTTTGGCAACAGCTCCATTAGCTACTACCAGCTTGTTTCCAGGATTGGGATTAACATTGACTTGTATTGATTGTTACTGCCTTGAGTCCCTATATCAGTAGGAGGATGGGATTTTTAAAAAATTAGACAGAAAGGGATCAAGCTCAAGGTGCTTTGGATTAATATAGGTCAGTGTTTTCCTTATAGCAGCCATTAGCATTGAGACAATGCTGTTGATAAGACACCTGAAAGCACTCAGTTTATTTCTGATAGATCAGATGCCGTATTTGAAAGTAACACTCAAAAATTGGCAAACTATTGATGGAGTCAAGAGTGTCGCTCTCATCTAGCAGCTCAAAATTCAATTCTGAGCAGGCTTTTGAATTGAATACTGCTCAGCTGTTTTATGCCAATTGAATAGCAGAAGGATCTTGAAGCCATGCCTTCTCTTGCTGCTCAATTTGCATGAACAAATTGTTGTATCCCTCCTTGTGCACCACATCCGCACACAATTTTCTCCTTACATTTGTAAAGCAACCATTCAGCATAAATGAGCAAGTGAAAATCTGTGCACAAAACATTTATCTTGAATTCTAAGCTAATGGCTATCAGCTAAGCTAAGGGCAAAATATTATTTCATTGTAATTACAGTTTCCAGTTTGGATGGCTTTAAAAGGGGGTTAAATAAAATAGAGAATGGAATAGTCATTAGATATTTCTCAAGATGGCACTATGTTATTTCCAATATTCAAGGCAATATGTCTCTGTATAGTAATTGCTGAGAAATGTCATTAATGGTAGGATTCACTTCCTGCTCAGTGGGCAACTCACTCTGTTCACTCACTGTGTGAAGCAAATGTTGGACTAGATGCAACATGGACAATGCTGAGTTTTTGCTGTGGAGCCATTTAAAGATAGTTCATAAGGGCCTCTCAAAAGTTCAACATACACCTCAGAACAGACACAGAATTACTTTATTGACATTCAAAGCAGCTTTGGCTGCATTTAAAACAATCGCCTGATAAACTTCTGGGACAAAGAATTTTTAAATTAACATTGATCAGTTTCAGTTCATCCCAAGTATTAGTAAACAGAAGTACACAGATATTCTATAGGCCACATCATATTTATTAAATACACGCTTAATTGCAGAGTTTATAAGGCACAATTGTTATCTTTCTCAATAATAGGTATTTTATTTTCTTCCTAGACACTCATCAAAGATCTTGTTCTGGAAATGAATTGTTTTTCAGTCTGCACACACCATACTTGTAGAACAGATCCCAAAGCTATATATAAAACAAGTTGTTCCAACCTCTCAGGAAAGAATATCAAGCTGTAGAAATCATCTTAATGTACACTCCTAAATTATTCTGGCTGCTGTTTCGCATCATCACTGATATCTATACACTCATCATAGGCTATCACTCGTGACTGAGTGTGATTGCCTTCCAAATAGAGAAGGAAGACTGGATTTCTAGGGTAAGAACAAGCAGATCAGCATCTTATCTAGACATTGGTTTTCAGTGCCATTTTCAGAACAAAGGTAGGGCATCAAAGGAAAACTTCCCTACAATGTAAAAAACAAAAGGAGGGGGATATAATTACACTATGTAACAAAATTTGAAAAATGTCCTGGTTTGAAAGTGTTATTTCCTGTTTAATTGCGTGGTATATACTTTGAAAGTTGTCATTATACTCCATAAACTTTGTTTTTGTGACTGCCACAAATTATGTTGAATTCATTGAGACTCTAAAGAGATAACTGGAAAACTATAGCAAAATGTGCTGCAGGATGTCCTGCAAAACCAAAGTTTCTGCAGTTTAATAAACCATTTTCATGTTTTTATGATAGAACCAATTAGGAAATGACATTTATAACCTAGGAACAAAAATTGTGTTGCATAGTGTTGTATTTCAGTAATTGTGCTCACTAAAAAGAGCACCCATATTCCCGCAACAGGGTTGGCACAGTAGATTTATGTAGCACAAAACAGAGTTTACTCACTGAATAGAGCAGCTGATGAGGTAAAGGCCACTATATTAGACATATAACTATGTTATCAGTACACACATTCTGTAACAAGAAGCCATTTAGTAGGTACTTTGTTTCAGTTTCCTACTGAAGTGTTCTTTTGAAAGGATTCAGGAGAAGACAGATCATTTCTTTATTTTATCCTCTTCTTCCAACCAGGTGGAGAAATACATACACCACAAATAGCTCTGGATAAAACTGCAAAACATCTTTGTGTAGAATTCCACTGCATACAATGCATGGGGCAAGTTGAGGCTTTTTCCTATTGTCCTCTTATTGCAAATTTCCTGCGGAGGCAAAAAGGCACCTAAGAGAAATAGCTGTGTCCCTCTGGCAGCCTCCTAGGAATCTGAACAGTGAGGACTAATAATGATGCCGGTATGAAGCTACAGGAGCCGAGCTTTTCTCTATGTGCTTCAGGTGGCAACAATGGCACAGCAAATGCTCATCCAGGGGGAAACAGCGATGCCCATCTTCGTCATTGAGCTCCATGCCACAGTCCTATGGAAGAGAGAAGTAGATTTAGGAAAAACTCCGAGCAGAGATATGTAGTAGCTCCCAGGTGTCCCCCTACCGTATATATAAATGGCTATTACATAATAAAATATACAAAAAAGAGATCTGTTGGCACAAATAGTTGTCATAAGCATCACACAAAATATTTCCATACAAGAGCCTTTCCAGACACAGCTAACAAGATCCTTATTTAAGTGGTACAATGATTTCTAAACAGACTGATTTTTACTGTTCCTGACTGCAGTAGTGTAGAGGAAGCCAACATTTGCCAGTGTGGATAACATTGTTCAAATAAAAATTGTGTTTTTTTCTGTGAAAAATCATTTCCTCCCCATAGCTGGTTCATCCAATGCAACAAAACAGCTAATGTCACCATCACAACCAAGCACTATCTCTATCTTACACAAATCTTGCTGAGTATTCAGAATCAGTGGTGAGACATTTGCCCCCAAAAGTAAGATTAGTGCAAATTGTGTTTGGGGGTATATTCTTTCTATTAGCAGAATTTGCTCATTCTTAATATCAGAAATCTGTCCTTGTGCAGTATAGGGTTATAGAATAATAATAACATATTTCACTGAATCTTAAGTCGGGAAGTAGCAGCCAATAATGAAAGGACCAAAGCAGTGACATCTTTGGCCCATCTTCTGTTCAGATATCGGCCAACACGCCAACTCCTTAAATCAAGAAATAGTTTTCTAAGATCTACAGAGATACTCGCAGGAACACCTCAGGAAGCGAGAATCCAAAAGTGGAAGACTAAAACCCAGCACCTCAATCAGTGGCTGAGACCGGATGAGAAACTCCCTCCTGGACACACAGAAGCTTGGGCAACCTGGAAGTCACTGAACAGGCTGCGCTTTGGAATTACGAGATGCAGAGCTAACCTAAAGAAATTGGGCTAGAAAGTGGAGTGCACAACATGCAAGTGTGGAGAAGAGCAAACCACAGACTACCTCATACAATGCAATCTGAGCTGTGCCACATGCACAATGGAGGACCTTCTCACAGAGACGCCAGAGGTACTCCAAGTGGACATTTAGTATAATGCCAAGTTTTTAAACTTTGTTTGTGTTTTTAAATACATTTTAACTGTACCCTCAACTTGCTTCTGACATGATAAATATTGAACCTAAGATGTACTATTCCATTTAAAGAACTTCCAAAATTGGGACAAGCTTTAGATTCAATGGCACATTTGCTGGATTTGGAGGATGAGTTTAAAAATTGCATTACCTCTGACAGAGGAAGTGGAGGAGGAGGAGGAAGGACCCCAACCCCAAACAGCTCTGTCAGGCCCCCACCATTTTGTCCTCAGTTTCTGCCAGAAGGCTTTTTATCGATTTGGCTGAGCTAAGCGCTATTTGCGGCTTCTGCTGCCTCCCCAATGGACCCAAAGAGCTAGAAAAATAAACTCATGCAGGCAATGACTTGGATTCCTTTATACTCCACCCCCCCCCATAGGAAAGATTGCACTACAAAGCCAATTTGGGACAAAAACAAGGTATTGTGCATGCAGAAGAAATTCTAATTTCCCCCCTCCCCAAACTGAAGTTGCAAAAACAAGGATAGTACCTTAGATTTGGTTAAATATGGTATGTATTTTTCTATAGGTGCACTGTGTCCAGAAACAACTCTTTGGAGGAATTTTTTAAATTCTAGGTCAGTTTTTTCTACACTTTTTCCATTTGCGACCCCTTTCTGCTTGAGAAATTTTGATGCAACCCCAGGTATGTAGGTATATAAAACAGCTATAAAAACAAACATGTACTGGAAACTAATCAGCATTGGCTAAATTGGCTAAACAGGCTGATTTTCCCTTTTTGTGAAATAGAACTGAACAATCTTTCTGCAGAGTACACTGTAAGCACTGCACAATAGATTCAAGTAAATGTCTAGATCAGTGGTTCTTAACCTGTGGGTCCTCAGATGTTTTGGCCTTCAACTTCCAGAAATCCTAACAACTGGTAAATTGGCTGGGATTTCTGGGAGTTGTAGGCCGAAACACCTGGGGACCCACAGGTTGAGAACCACTGGTCTATATGATATTCAGAAAATTTTTACTATTCCCAAACTTTTCATGACTGCAACATTAAGCTAAGGTGACCCCCATTTGGGGTCAGGACCCACAGTTCAAGAAGCACTGTTTTGGGCAACACAGGAAGCATAGGTAAAAAGGCATCCATTCTTTGTTGAAGATATAYTATAATTTTTCAGAATGAGATGAAAAGATTTTTTTCTGGCTCTMACACAAGGACAGAATTATTGGATATTCATATATTTCATTGGCATGCTGTTYATTATTTAGGAAATCATAAACTGCATTTAATGATCTTATAACTTTGGGGATTCTCATTTCCAGTTGCCAATGGKCAAACATGATCCCAGACACCTCTAATGTCAGGCAGCGCTTCACCGGAAGGCTTTCYAAGGCACTACACATTTGGACACGGAAATGAATATGGCTGCAGCACTTTCTCATCCATAGGTGGAATTGAAACAYGGATCTGTAGCAGACCACAAACTGTCCCTCCAGCTGCTTGTCTCAACACRCCCTGTAACCAGGAGTTGCCATTTACCACATCCTGATCTGTGTAGTTTGGAAACCCTTAAGAAGCAAGTTTTGGAGGATTCAAAACAAGCAGCTACAGTAAGAGAGCTTCACTGTCATAGCTACGTTGGCCAATGTAGAATCTCAGCTATTTAAAATAGAATTTGTGAATTACATTAAATTTATGGTCCACCTAAAACTAGAGGAGCATTTCATATATATATATCATTAGCATTATCTATTTGCTAATTGGATTAAGCAGTACTTCTGCAGTTTGCAAAATCACAGCTATAATTCTCAAAGCTATTTAAGTGGTTATTGCAATCATCTCTCTTCAGTGCTATTTCAAGTTTATGTCTAGATTGAGCTCAGCAAGCTAGCACCAACGAGGTCTCTTAGGGAAATACCAAACTCATGAAAACAATTATTAATGCCATATGAAGATAACATTTTATTGTACATATTCCAAAAAGTATTCAACTCATATCTATTTCAAATGAAAAACCCAACTTCATTAATATCACATTCATATGGAAAATGACAACCACCTTCGCAAACCTGAATATGGCGCAACTGACTACAACCGAGAGAAAATTAGCTCATCCAGATGAATGCTAGTATTTATATAGTATATACAGTATATACTATATACTGTATGCCCCCCTGGTGGCACAGCAGGTTAAATCACTGAGCTGCCACACTTGCTGACTGGGGGTAAGCTCCTGCTGTTAGCCCCAGCTTCAACCAACCTAGCAGTTCGAAAACATGCAAATGTGAGACCAATAGGTCCCAGTTCTGCAGGAAGGTAACAGCACTCCATGCAGTCATGCTGGCCACATGACCTTGGAGGTGTCTACGGGCAACACTGGCTCTTTGCCTTAGAAATGGAGATGATCACCACCCCCCAGAGTCGGACATGACTAGACTTAATGTGAAGGGGAAACAGTTACCTCTTTTACAGTATATATTATATTATATTATATTATATTATATTATATTATATTGGTACAATGAGAAGACTTTGAGGGGTTCACAAATATTTAAAATCTTAAGGAGCTTAAGAAACCCAAACTTACTTATAACATAAAATTATAAGCTATGCTCCTTTTAAAAGGCTATTCTTCTGATCACAGAAGCCTGCCCAGTACGTCCTAAAAAACCACTCCACTGACTCAGTAGACTTTAGGGAATGGCCTCTGAAATAACTAGAAAACTTATAATCCATAGAAAGCCCCAAAGAGAGAACTTCCCCCGCCACATATTCAACATACAATTCCAGGGTATGTCCAGAAGTCCTTGAACATACCCAACACGTTCTTTCGCTCTTACTTAAAGCCTTTTTGACAAAACTGATACTAGCTGTGAGTTTTTCAGGCTATGGCTATGTTGCAGCTGCACTAGCTTTATTTTTACCGATGGTCCTGTGCATGATTCCCCCTCAAAAGGCTAAGAATGATACATTTAGCTTTAGTTTGTAATTTTATTTTATAGAAGGTTACTAAAGAACGCTGGATTACCTCACAGCGATAACATTCCACGTGGTAATCCTTGTCCATTGATACAACACGGATAGTCTCATCAGAACCCTGTTAAGGAAAGAAAGAAAAACAAGGGAAAGGTTTTTAAAGGGAGGGATGGACAGAAGTGGGCTAATTCAGAACCTTTTTTTTCATGTCAAGAGCAACTGAGAGAATTGGCCATCTGCAAGGACATTGACCAGGGGATGCCCGGATGTTTTTGATGTTTTATGTTTTACCACCCTTGTGGGAGGCTTCTCTCATGTCCCCACATGGGGAGCTGGAGCTGACAGAGGGAGCTCATCCACGCTCTCCCCGGATTCAAACCTCCAACCTGTCAGTCTTCAGTCCTGCCAGCACAAGGGTTTAACCCATTGTGCCACTGGGTGTTCCAATTCAGAACTGTTCTGGACTGTCTGGATCTCCTCTAGCAAACTGACCCTGAACTAGCATTCAGGCCTGAGCAGATGGTCATGGAGGAAAGACAGAAAGTGATTGATGAACTTCTCAAAAAAGAAACAAGGGTTTGGGGTTTTTTTTGGGAGGGAGGATTGTTCATTTGCCAATGAAGACTAAAGCCTTATGTGGCTTGAGTCTAGAATATATGAAATACATATATATCTATGGGACTCTTTTTGGGTCCCATAGAAGCCATTTTCTCTGTCCCATCATCTCCTGGGCTTGTTTGGTTGGAACAAGGAAAAGGGTTCCTCATTGGCTGCTCCTCTTGGAAGGTCAAGATGGATCTATCACTGCTGTCCATTTGTACTCAAGGCAAAACATTATTGAGAAAAAGGGGTATATAAATGAATGAATGAATAAGTATTTTGTCATTGCGAAAAAAAAAAGTAGGCTGACCACATTCATGTAAAGCTCCAGCAGCCTCCTTCCTCAAATCTGAAAGTAAATGGCCAGCGGCTACAAGCACACAAACAAATGCTATGTTTGCATTTAAACCTTCCCGAGTGTCATTGACGGAAATCAGGAAATGGGAGGGAAAATGGGGGAGGAAAACCCATACACATTCCAATGTTTTTTTCAGGAAAAATCACATTATATAATAACTTCATATGCGAAAAAGCACTGGAACTAGTTAATCAAAATGACTTAATGAACTCTCACTGCCACAAAACCAACAAGAATCCAGTTGCCTAGCTATAATTTGTTCTTTGGACAATCAACTATGAACTCACACATATTGGTCATTCTGGGCCTATGTGAAAATCTTCACCCACATACAAATAAACCACGTATTTCGACTGAAACCCAGTTCGAGTTCAGAGATGATCACTCAAAGAACCAGTTACAAGTAGACAAGCTATTCTTCACACTCCATGACTCAGTGTCTACAGATGGGCAAAAGCAAATAGTTATGGAAGCTGACTTAAATTGAGCTGTAGGGAGCTGTAGCTGTAGCTTTGAGTTGTAGCTGTCTGGAGGTCCCCTTCCCACTAAAGACCTTTATGGACAGAAATATATGTTACATCTTGCCTGCCATGTAAAAGTCTGGCAATACAAGCACTGAGTCAACTGCATGGCTCTCAAACAGGCAAAGAAAACAAACTCATTTTTTAGCCTCACAGTCTAGATTAGAGCTTTCCAAAACAATATATTGTAACACATTAGTGTGTTGACTGCAGTGTGTAGGCCTGTCACATGAACGTAACAAGAAACCCAAGTCTATGTGAAAGAAACAATAGATAATATATATGTTATAATAAAATAATAATAATAATAAAATGTCAAAAAATAATATAGATTTTTTAAAAAATGAAAGGTTTTCATGAGACACATTGTGTCTCCATAGGTTTAGTTATTACAATTAATGTACGTGTCCCTATCTCTAATAAGGGATTGGTTTAACCTCTGGCTTGCTAGTAAAGCTGAATTACTGTGTTGCAAAATGATGCATGTCTAAAAATTAAAATGTTTGCAATGCTCTGGCTGTGAAGAAAATCTTTTGGGCCATATATCCCCAAAGAGAGAAGACAACCTGACCAAAATGCCAAAATGCTATGAGTTTCTAATGAGTTTTCCATGATGAGAGATGAAATGGAACTACCTATATTTTCTGGCATATAAGATGACTGGGCGTATAAGACGACCTCCAACTTTCCCAATTAAAATATAGAGTTTGGGATATACTCACTGTATAAGACTACCCCTCTTCCAACGAAAACCAAATAAAATTTTTGAAAGCATCAGATTTGATTTCAATATGGTAATTTTCCTATTACTGTACCTCCTTCTGTGCCTCTCAGATCTCGCACATGCGCACCTGCACCACTTCACTGCAGTCTTCTGGAGCGAGATCTGAGAGGCAGAGGAGGAGGTATGGTAATAGGATACAAGGGCGGGCCAGACAGGTAAAAGAGGTGCGTTTTTCTGGGCCCAGAGCCTCTCTATCTCTTTTTTCCATACCCCGGGCGCCCTTCACTGACACCTTCCCTGTGAGGCACCCCTTAACCTCACCATCAGGACCACATTAAGTCCATGAATCCTGATGAATTGATTTTTTTCTACCGTACTTGTACAGCGTTGCCTTTAATGCTTTCATACAGTCACTGCATACGGCAGGACATGGCCACTGCCATTTTTGAGCTCCCCCCACCATATGCGGCAACCACAGGTTCTCCAATCCGGATTTGAAGTTTCAGCACCCGCTTTATAAGACGATTCCCTGTGTATAAGATGACTCCTATGTATAAGACAACCCTCAACTTTTGAGAAGATTTTCTTGGGTTAAAAAGTAGTCTTATACGCCAGAAAATATGGCAGTTTTCAGCAGGAATACATGATTTATATGTATGCAGGTGTGGGAGGCTAGAGCCAAAGTGGAACTCTAGAAGTTTCTAAAAATCTTTGCATAGGCACAGAATGGCTAATAGATGTGAGTCAGAGAGTATAAGAAGAAAGAATACTGCCATATCTTGAAATACATTTAGTTAGATGGATCAGAAGCATCCATTGAACTGCCTGCCTCAATCAAACTGTCATATTTTCATTATTTCAAGTTCATGACTTTAATTACAAACTTGTCTTGGTTATTTTTAGTTGGATTAGGACATTGCAGGACACAGCAATTGCCAGCATGTTAATACAATAATATAGAAAATAAGTAGAAGTGCTAGGATTTTTCAAAATGGAACAGATAGAAATAGAATTACTCACCTCGCTTGGAAGAATGGGAAGACCGCAAGCTGCACATTTTGGAGCTAAAACTCTTTATTAAAATAAGAAGTTACAGAGTTAGAAAAATGAAGAAAATAAGTTTAAACTCCTCCGCAATGTACCCCCCCCCTTCCCCAAAGTCATTGAGAAGTCTGGTCTAAATGTGCAGAAAAATGATAAAGGATTGAGGTAGCATTTGAGGTTAGATGAGGAGTTTTTGACTTCAGACTAAAGATGTAAGATCACATATTTTATATTATTTGTTAAAATAATAGTTATATGTGGATTAGCACAGCAAGCATCAGATCAGGCTATAAATTATCTCCTTGCTTTCCTTGTTTTTCACTTTACTTAAGTGTGACAATAGATATAACAGTATCTGAAGAGAATATTTAAAATTGGCATTATGCAAGCTGTCTGAGATGGTACAGTACTCACTGCAACTATGTTCTGCTGAATCTGTAGATTAGGCTATATACACCTTTTTTTTGCCTGGCATATTATGTGCCCTTGCAGGAGTGTGGCAAGCTCCGGCCCTCAGTATGCTATGCTTCCCGTCACCCACATCTACTGGCTGGATCTGCTAAGAGATGGTGTCTAACATCATCTGAACATCTTCACCTTTGCAGGTGTGAAACAAGTAGCGATGCCTCAAACTATATCTTGTTTTAATTTATCAGATTTTACACTACAGTCAGCCCCCAAGTAATGAACAAGATAAATCCTGTACATTTGTTCTCAAGTTGAATTTGTATTTAAGTCAGAACAGGCACATTTTTAACTGTAGGTAAAGGTAAAGTTTTCCCCCTGACATTAAGTCCAGCCGTGTCCAACTCTGGTGTGGGGTGCTCATCTCCATTTCCAAGTCGAAGAGCCAGTGTTGTCCGTAGACATCTCCAAGTTCATGTGGCCGGCATGACTACATGGAGTGCCTCACCAGCTCAGCAGTTTAACTCATTCCACCACCGGGGACTCCTTTTTAACTGTATCTCCAGCCATATATATATATAAGTTTTGGGCAGCATAGGGAAGGGTTAATGCTGCTGTGGTGTTTGTTTTGCTATCTGCGCCCCTGCTCAGAAGATTTCACCTCATTTTCTGTCCCTGTGATTATTGAATTTTGAAAAAAATGGCTTGTTTTGGAAACAAGGATTGGTGATAAAGATTCAGTTAAGACACCTTTTCCCCATGATAACTCTTTTGAGGGGTAGTTGCTTTCTCTTTCTGTTGCCCCACCACCATTCTTAACTATGAGGCGTTCGTCAGTCAGATGACTGTAACTCAGGAACTGTCTGTACTGTGAAACTGCCTGTGATAAGTTTTCGGTTTTGCCATTCTTTGCTTTTTGGGGCTTTAAATTACTTTAACTTTGCTGAATATTGGTTAGCAGTAATTTACAAATAAAAACGTATACTTTCTTGTAATCAAATCATAGTATGGGCAACTGAAAATAAATGCATATTCTCCTGTGTTTATATCCCTGCTTCCATTTCCCTCTCTTATCTCTGTTGTCTGCTCTACAGCACAAGTTATACTGCAAGCAACTTGTTGTCAGACCTGTTGTCTGATACACTATAAGACAACATGGACATAGAGGCCTCTATCCAAATCTCAATAATAATTAATTATGTCACCATGCTATTACATCTTCAGTTATGACAGCTTTACTGTTTTACATTTGGAATTTTGTATATTGTTTCAAGTATTGCTATTAATAAACAACTGCAGTTTAAATATGCTTTTAAAACCACATACAATTTGTAGAGCTTGTGCTTAAAGAAGTCTGCATATCAAAGATCATCACTTTGCATATTTCAGTTCCAGCAAAGCCAGGAGTAGTTTAAACTCCTGGTGAAGACAAACTCTCAGAAAGAGAGAAAGCAAGTCCTTAATATATTAACAGTCCTCCATATAATCTGCATTAGTCGACTGACTGTATACCCATTTTCTTTGATGCCAGTGCCACTAATTTTAGATTTTACTAATAGTTACATCTCTGTAGGTTGAAACATCAGACATTTTTCTTTAAATCTATTTTCGTCTTACTTGTGGTAATCTCGGACACAGTAGATTTTGTTGTCGTTGTCTACAGTGAATGGCACGCCGTCAAGGCAGTCATTGCAGATGACGCAACGGAAGCAACCAGGATGGTACGACTTCCCTAAAGCCTGCAAAATCTGTATTAAGAGATAGAAAGTACTAATGAATAATCATTTCCTTTTTTTAAAAAAATGCAGAAGTAAAATGGACTGGGTTGCACGAAATATACCAGAATTATAATGTAGGAAGTTTGTGAAATATTCTATTAATGGTAGCCTGCTTCAAAACAAACAAACCCAAAACAAAACAGGCAGTATCACCCAGAGTACTGTAATCAATCTGATTAATGACAGATGAGAAATGGCAAGAAACAGAAACAACTCCTTAAAAACTGTTATTCTGATGAGGTAAATAATACTATTATCGAAACATAGAATCATAGAACTGGAAGAGACCCCATGGACCATCCAGTCCAACCCCCTGCCAAAAAGCAGGAAAATCGAATTCAAAGCTTGGTCACTTTCAAGTGCATGTGAAAATGAGGGGTAGACAATTTCATACTACATTATATGGCAGTGTAGATAGGGCCAGTGAAGTTAAATTAAAGGAAATATAAGACTGATCTTTTAAGAAATTTCACGTAGACTAAAGCAATTAAAATAATGTATTTTCAAAAAAAATCATTAGGAATTCAGAAGGCATGAATAATCATCATTGAAGGGAGTGCCCTTCCTACCACCACCAGGAGGTCTAGACTCTAGTTGAGTGGTTCCCGACCTTTGGTTCTCCTAGTGTTTTGGATTTTGGCTCTCACAATTCCTCATAGTTGGCAAACTGGCTGGGATTTCTGGGAGTTGAAGTCCAAAACAACTGGAGGACCAAGGGTTGGGAAACTCTGCTCTAGAACCATTATTGGAGAGGTGTCTTTTAACAAAATATGAAATACTGACAGTTGTAGAGGTAAAGTGTTGTATTAAAATTGAGGAGACCTGGATCTGAATCCCAATTTCACAGTGTCAAGTATCTTGTTTGACACAATCAAATAAAGCTTTTCCAGCGCAATCTACACTGGAGGCCCAGAAGATGATGGCTGCTTATTTTCCCCTTGCTGCACAAAGACAACTGGATAGTGCCATGGAGCAGCCAGACTGATTTTTTTACTTTAGATATTACTCTTGATTATTGGGGTTTCTCCCTTTCTCTGTATGTAGTGGAATACACTAAAGCCACTCACCATGTCCATGATTAAATGTCCACATATGAAACATCTATCAGCTGACTGCTGGAAACCTGAATACTGCATTGAAAAAAAGGCAAAGAAAAAACTATTTCAAACTTATACATTATACTAAATAAAATCCTAAACATTGTGGTTATTTCCTTAAGGTCTACTAAAAGGGAAGCAGGGCCATTGCAATGCCAGTGAGAAAATGGTCTTTCTTTTTGGTTTCTATAGTCCTTCCTTTAAAATAGGGCTTGGAGGCCTTGGCTCTAAAAATATTTTTGGGATTCCAGTTCCCATGAGCTCATATCAGTGTGGCTTATTGTAAGGGATAATAGGAATAAGAATACATAAGTTCCCTACATCTTCTTTGATGTTTTATTATGCCAGTTCAATTACTATGTAGGATTTAGAAAGTTAGGGGATGTGAAGTACCCAGTTATAACACAACAACCCATCATAAAACAAAGCACTAAGTGACCCTATACAAGCCACCTTCTCTCTACCTCACCGCATCTGCAATTATGAGAATAGAAATATATGGCTAGCATGAGGTAAATTACAACATTCTATATGAACACTCAGTAAAGATTATTATCCCAATACATATTAATAAAACAACACATAAATAAATACCACATTTGATGTAAATATTAATTTTCCTATGGATTACATAAGCAAAAAAAAACCAAAAAAAAAAACCCCTTAGGATCTACTTCCACAGCTGTACCTGCAAAATACGCATAGATAAAAACAACATTGCTGCAGTTCTGAAAAATAAGTCCTCAGTAGCATTTGTTTCATTTAGGATTATCACCTCTCTTGCAAAAATGCTTAATCAAAGGCATCAGATGAGAAGGACTGCTAATTGCATCTCGGCCGCTTAAAAAAGGAATCCAAGAACATGGTGGAAAACACAGCCTGATACTGAGTCAGTGTGTCTGCCAATCTCACCTTTCTCTGAAATACTATCTTGTGCTAAACCCCTCTTAAAAATTTAATATATGAATAACTCACCAGGAAATCTTCTTCACAAAATACTTTTCCATTAACAAAATAAAAAGCCTTTCCTCTTAGCTTTCGACCTAGAAGGGGAAACAAGAAGGATTAAAAAAAAAGAATTAATAGTCTGAATGCCATTGATAGACGCTGAATATACTTTTGATGTGATCAACTGCTGTAAAGAAACCCATAATATGATTTTGTGGTTCTGAGAAAATATTTGGATATGCAACTGAAATAGCAAAATATTTTGTCCAGAGGGGGGTTTGCTTTTGCTTTCCTTTGAGGCTGAGAGAGTATGATTTGCCCAATGTCACCTAGTGGGTTTCTATGGCTGAATTCAAACCCTGGTCTCTAGAATTATAATCCTACATTCAAAGAACTACACCATGCTGGCTCTCAAAAAGCCAATGCGATAGATAGCACATCACTGAAATTCCCTTATTTAACAAGGTGTCTGCAGTAACAGCAGAGGGCGCTTCCAGACAAGGAAAAAATATGTTGTAGCAGTAAATGACTGTATACATATTTAAGTTTCTGGATTTATTTCAGTATTATTTATTTATTTCCAACACAGGCCCACATACAAATACCCTTTCTACATTTTGTATCATAAAAAAGAGATATATCATTTCTACATCATGTATCATTTTAAAAAGATGTATATTCTGCAAGTGGTGGGTAGAATAAAAAGAGATCATCTCGAAAACATGTATTGCAGAAATGAAGCAAATGTCAATTGCATCATTCTTATGTGCCACCAACATTTATTCAAAGCCAAAAGTGAGTTGTTAAAATTCGAGAAACAAACCAAGTTTGATTGAAACACTGTTCCCTTTCATAAACTGCCTTTATGCAGCATCACATTGAGATAACAAGGGGAAGATCAGCCCAAGAGGTTATTAACCCAGTCTGGAATTGACTCTTAGGAATTTAAACATATGAAACAAGTGTGATTTTCCATTCATATCTCTTTTACTGTATGGATTAAAGATTCTTTGCTCCTTCTCAGCTATACTTAATCTAGTTGGAAGCCATTCTTATTTATTGATTTGGCACCATCTCTTCCAAGGTGATAAACCAGTTATGTTCACATCAACACTCCCTTATTGGACTCTTGATATTTTGAATGCTTGGAACACTGAGGATATAAACTGGTGATTCAATCATATTTCTATTTACAGTATTAAAGAAAACAAGTTATATATTTATGCACTCTCCTTGGAAATGAGTTGTCTAAACACATTCTCATCATATAAACATTCTTCTTACCCTTGTTTCTATAACCAGTCGTGTTATTTGTATTGTCTCTACAGAAACAACATGCAGATATTTCAATACACTGTAGCATGATAATGCATCATGAGGTTTATTTCTCCTATCAGATTAAAAAAGCACATTTTCTATAGCCCAATCATTTATCCAGAGAGAAGAAGCTTCCTCTATTTGACATTATAAAGTATGGCCTACTTGATTTCTATCAGGCTTGATAGCAATCATGCTGTTGCTGATATTTTCTACTCCATCATCAACCAATAAATTGAATGGAATTTTATTATTTTTCTTACACAACCGAATTAGTTCACTTGAAGAACACTCAGAATGAAAGGCTACTGTTCTCCATTTGGGGCCCTGCCAGGGGCTTTACTATGCCTCAGATCAGCTGAATTCAGCAGGACAGGAATTTGTGGAGGCAAATGGTCATGAAGTAAGACTATGCTGTTTGATTGGAGTATCACTCTCCCCCCCCCCAAATAAATACTTATTTCTGTTGATACTTATGAAGTGGATTTTTTTCTCTAAACCAGTGGTTCCCAATCTGTGGTCCATGGACCACCAGTGGTCCAAAAGAACTAAAATATGGTCTGTGGTCTCACCGTTACTACACCATTGCAATAAGAGTGACTGGTCTCACAAAACCCTCTTTTATTGCTGAGACTTATTAAATATGATTTTCTGTGGATGAACAGATAGTGGCTACAGGATATCATATGTTCTGTATCAAAAACTAGAGCTGATGTGGTCTACCCAATGCAATTTTCTGAATCAGCACCTCAAATAACCCAACCAAATCTAAAGTTGACCAAAAACTGATTTGCAACCTTTTTGGTACTAATGTTGGGAGAGTGGTCCCTGGTCAAAAAAAAGTTGGAAACTACTGCCCTAAACAGAACGTAGCTCTTAACTTCTATAAAGCTGCCATCCAAAAGAATCCTATTAATATTAGACACACATTTCTAGAACCAACATATAATTACTTTCAAGTTTACCACTTTAACATTACTAGCCAAGCTTCAGGGCATGAATTCAGCAAAATATATCCAGCTAAGCTATAACATATTATAATATGGTTGTAATTTAAGATAGACAGAAAACTGGAAAAAAGGTTATTTGGTAGTAGCATTCTTCTTAAAGAAATATTTACCCAGAGCAATTCATTTACTACCTGTTTGGCTATAATTTAAGTCTTAAAGCAAACACTAGGCGAACCAGGGAAAATGTTGTTTTCTCAGGATTATATGCTTCCTAGTTTTTAAGCCATCAAACTATAAAGCAGTGCTTGATGGTTTAAATATTGCAAATTACTGTAATTTTAATTAATGGAATGGAGCTTTTTTGTTTTGTTTTATGGAATTGTTTACACTTTTTGGTAATCCTGGGAATTCTGGTTTGTCATTGAAATACGTTGTGTCTTTTTTTAAAAAAATAATAAATTACTCAGTGATTAACAAATATACACAGGATGTGACCATATGAGTCCTATTATTATAGGATACACAATCTTACACTATTGCTCCCCTCAACGTTTTTCTCCCAGGAGTACACTCCCCCCCTTGTGTGAAAGCTTGGTTCTACAACCCCATTTCTTAATGAGCTCTCCTTTCCAAATAACCTGCTTCTCTTTCATCTCACCCTGAGTTTGAACATTTTATCTTGCACATGCGCTCATTGTCATTGTGATTGTATTTGCATATTGCTCACTGTATTCATATGTTTCTATGTATTTATTTTGTTGTTGCTTGTGTTTTTGGTTTTTATTTTGCTGTAATTTGTTGTTCGGGCTTGGCCTCATGTAAGCCACCCCAAGTCCCCGTTGGGGGGGAGATGGTGGCGGGGTACAAATAAAGTTTATTATTATAATTATAAAATGTATAATGGATTCAGTGTATGAGAGAGAGAACTGTCATAGAACTCTAGTTTAAAGTAATCTCTGAAAATACATATATATTGTACTATATGGAAGGCTAACTTGTTTTCTTTTGTACAAAACAGAAAGAGTGACTACTAAATATTGATCTAAGTGCCTTGTGCAGTACAACCCTGAACCTGCGGGACTGGCACCTGCAGTTTCATCAATTTGCATCTCACAAAATACAACCTCCCTAGGAATTTTCTAGGCTCCGGAACTATCATATACTATTGCTGAAACCTACCATATAGTTGCCTTGCAGACCTAGCAAATTTCTAGAGAGAATATTTTTCTAAGAATTATCTCGGTCCACCAGGGCCTCTCTGTGGTAACTTCTGTGGTGGAAACCATTCATTTCAAGAGGGTTCACTATTATCCAAGGTTTTGTTTCCATGATATGTTCAGGAACTTATCTCCCGCAGAAACAGGGGGAATACTTTTTAAAGAAATGAATAACATTAATCCTCCAAGTACAAAGAGGAAGAAAATATTCACTGATAGCTTGGGGGAAGGCATGCTTTTTATGGAAATTTTATAGAAAAATATAAGTTATACAATTAATACGAGTCACCAAAGAAACTGACCCAAAATACAAGTTGATTATTCTCCATTTAACGTTTAAGAAGTCCAAGCGGTAACTCAAAACAGGCAGATGTCAAAAGGGCTTTCCTTTTACAGCAATAATTTTGACAAGGCATGCAATAAAGGGAGATTACAAAAATACAGCCACCTGAAATGTCTCTGGAAGTGCTATAGTTCGGATAGTTTTTGTTGGATGAAAACTCCAGCTAGTATAAAGGATGCATTTGGATAGCTGCCACTATCATTATGTGACAGACAGAAGTCATTTAACAAGAATTCTGCATTGTGTCTATTTTAAAAACTTGGTCACACTGCAGGGTAATGGCAGGATGATACAATTTATACTGTTATGTTTGCTATAAAAATGTGTTCCATGGAACAGGGTATCTTTAAGGGAAAGGATCTACAGTGTTATTGGGATTTATAAGCCTGAAACACTTCAATATCTGAATGCAAAATATAAATGGAGACTGGAGTTAACACAATTTTTAAAAATTGAGTATGAAAATCTATACATGCCTAAGACATCTTATTCAGTTAGATGGTTCTTACTTTCAGTTAAGTAGATATTTATTTATTTACTATTTTATACCCTGCCCTTCTCACCTTGAAGGGGCTCAGAGCGGCTTACAATGTCGCACCATACACAGAACAATAAACATACCATTTCAAAATTATAAACAGTTAAAACATATAAACAGATTAAAACATACAAAGTGCCGAATCATAGTATACAAAGTGGCAGGTCATGGTTTCTATACTTTTTGGTTTTCCTATGGTCATTATTCCGTATTACCCTACTCCCCGAACACCTGTGTACAAAGCCAGGTCTTTAACTTTTTCCTGATGATCAGGAGGGATGGAGCCAGTCTGATGTCACTGGGGAGGGAGTTCCATAGCTGAGGGACTACCACTGAGAAGGCCCTGTCTCTCATCCCCACTTGTGAAGGGGGTGGGACCGAGAGCAGGACCTCCTTAGCAGATCTTAAAGCTCTAGTTGGCTCATAAAGGGAGATATGTTTGGAAAGGTAAGTTGGACCAGAACTGTTTAGGGCTTTATAGGCCAAAGCTAGCACTTTGAATTGAGTCCGGTAGCAAACTGGCAGCCAGTGGAGCTAACATAACGGGGGATAGTATGCTCTCACGCTCTCTGTATATGTCTTGTCATGTATAGCTTGCATACTGAACTTACATGGGGAATATCTACACAGTATGCCCATATAAAGTCTTTATTGTAGCAAATACTCATGACAGTTTATAAGATTTAGTAATTAGAAACCTGAGCTCCGGACAATTTTATGATGTGTTTTT